CCAATTTCCACTTTTTTTTTCCATATCGTTTTAGTTCAAAATGGCGGGAGAAACGAGCGAAACTTTTTCCCGGATTATCTGGATACCGCATAAATGGTTCTCTACTGTATGCATAAAAAAAGAGTTGCAGATTTAGCTCTTCGCAATTAAGTCTTGCTAAAGTCATTGGTACATGATTTTTTGAAATTGGTTGCATACTTCCGTTTCTACTTAGACATCCTTGAAAAAAAAAAATTTTAATATACGAAGACTAAGCGAATAATGGATATCACGTTGCTAGTTTACAAGTTTGTTGCCAACCGTGGTAAAATACGAATTGAAAACTATAAAAACAGAAAGATACAATATCAATTATAACAATTGAGAGTACGAGTTTCCCCACTCCTGTACGGACGTCACTCGATATCGTCATGTGACGTCATCGCATTCAACTCCACACGAAGATTCCTACGAATCCCAGTGTAAGGGGGCGGGTGAAGTAGGAGTGTTAAAGAGGGGTAACGTTGAAGAGGAGGGAAAAATAAAGCACGTGCAGCTACGCCTCAGGCAGATGGTAGTTCAATAAGAGGGGATGGAATTCACACTGAAAGAAAAACAAAACTTCCGCAATCGCGGAAAAATTAGGTAATTGTGAGTGTCTGGCCATCGATAGCAGTAAAATTCGGGAGTTTTTTTAATTAATTCTGGAGGGCGGGAGAATAACTCAAAATTCGGGAGACTCCCGCAAAATGCGGGAGAGTTGGCACGTCTGTATATATATATATATACATAATGATACATTTTAATGTAAATTATGAATAAAAATTATTGGAAATAATGTGAACTCTTATTAGTATATAACAAAAATACATCAGCATTTTTTTATTTTTTGAGCTTCTTTTAAACCAGAGTAAAACATGTAATTTATTTATTAAAAAACATTTAATACATCCATGCATCGTAATAAAATTTTTTGCTTAAATGTGATTATAATTCCTTATTGTTAAAAATGTTAAAATATCTTATATATGAATTAAAATAATTGAAAATGATGTGAACTCTTATTAGTATGCAACAAAAATACATCAGCATTTTTTCAGGTTCTTTTAAACCAGAGAAAAACATGCAATTTATTTTAATGAAAAACATTCAATATATATTTAATATATTTACATTTAATACGCATTGTAATAATAAATTTTCCATAAATTACATAATTCTTTATAATTCCATTAAATTCCTAACCAAAAAATAAATAAATAAATATATTTCCCAGAGTCAGAAGCAAATTTGGCTGTATTTACGTATAAAATTAAAATTCTATTAATTTGGAAACATAGATCTTTTTTATATAAATATATTTTATATTTCTTAGATATATAGATACATAAAGGAACATGTAAATTACTTTAAATCTAGTTATCAGATTTTTATATAAGTACTAAAATTGCATTCCCGTTTGAGGAGTAGACACTAAATATGTTTATTAATCAGTACATGCTCAATTTTAAGATGTGAAACAAGACACAGAATCGTAATTTCTATGAATAAACATGCTCTTTTTTTCAAAATAAAATGTGAATAAATTAAAACTGCAAAAATAATTTTATAGAAATGCTTATCATTGCTTTTTAATATCATACATTTTTGAATATTTTTATTATGTTTCAAATTTTTTGACAAAGAAAATATTTAAAAAAAATAATTTTAAAGTGTTCTATTTAAATAAAAAGAACACTGCATTATATAAATTAGTATTTTATAGAATAAAAGAGTAAACACAAAAAAAAATTTTAAAGTCACTTTAGTTATTCGAAAAAATTGAATCAATACTAGCTTTTTTAATGCACACTGTATACAAAACATTCCACTTTCTTAATCATCCGGCGCTATAAAAAGCTTCTGTTTTCTTATTTAATGAGCAAAAAAAATAATATGACTGCTGAAGTCAAATTATCTTTCAAGAAATTCTACGTTAAATAAAAATTTTATATTAAAAAATTTTTTTAAGACAAAACTAACTTACTTGACAAATGAATATAGTAAAAACTTTTCATGACTACTGTTCAATAAATTTATAAATTTTTTTATTAAAAAAAGGTAAGATTTGAAGGGTAAGAAAAAAGAACAATTTTATATTTTTCCAAATTTTGATTTTATCAAGCATATATACAGCTGCAAACATGCATAAGAAAAAATTGAGTAGATTTTACGAAATAATATAAATTTCATGATAATTGTTGCAGAATGTACTAAATATTTTACATATAGGGTTATAGTCATCAAAACAGAAAAACTGCAATATTTTCCAGTTATGATTGACATTAAAAATACTTGAAATATTATGTATTATATTTACTCATAATTTAAAATATTAATAGGCATTTAATTCATCAAAGATAGTTAAAATATTTTTATAATTAATTTAAAAAGAGAGTTCTGAATAAAAATAAACTGCACATTTTAGAACAAAAAGTTTCAACTGATTTCTATAAATGAGAATCGACTTATTATGTATTAATAATACTTAATTAAATATTCAAGCAAGCAATATTCTGAACAAAAATTTTTTTAGGAAACTTACTCCATTTAAGGGAATTTTGTAAAATTTACAAAAACCATTAAATTTTAATTAAACCAGTAGAACAAGAGAAACTGGCAAAGTTCAGTAGAGTTGGCAGCTATGTGTATAGCTTCAAATGTGTTGAGACTATTTAAGTCTTAACTTAAAACAAAAACTTAATACAAAACAAAACTAATAAACTGTAATAAACTTAAAACAAACAAACAAAACTGTAATAAACTTAAAATAAAAACAAAAATGGTGCTTCGGGATTATACAGTCGGTCATTTTCGTACTTAGGGATTATCCCGTCGATCCTTTTCCCCAAACCCGATTTTATCGCCAAAAGGTAGCCTCTGTGCCAATAACTGCAAATTTAAAACAGGAAACACCGCAGAACTGTCTGAAAACACTCTGATTCAGAGTTAACGAATTTATGTTGCGGCAACTAAACAAAAATAATGACTTGTCTGCTTGCGCTTTAAAAATTATCAAGGGCTGCCAAAATGATTTACAATAACACATATGGTTAGATTCAAGAATAATTCAATGCGTAATTATAAAAAATATTAAAAAAAAGAGGTTTGAACTTTGTTTTGATTAAACTTTTTATTACGTATTTTTACACTTATATTTTTTTTGTTATTGTTATTTCCTTATTATTTGATAATTTTAATGTGTTTAGAATGTTTATTTTGGAAATAGCTTCTCATTATGATGGCGCCAGAGGAGCACTTATGCAAGCGTTGACAGGTCGACAGGATAATCCCTAAGTCAAAAAAAAACAGATTCTTTTTTTTCTTTTAAGTCAGTGTTTCCCAAAGTGTGGTACGCGTACCCCCAGGGGTACAGGAACAGATTAGAGGGGGTACGCGTTCTTATGCAAAATATCTTGCAACAAAAATTTTTAAAAATTTTATTTCAAAACAAAGCTAGCCATGAAAATTTATGATTACGTACTTTTCTATTGGCTATTTTTTGCAGAGTGAACAGTTAATAATTAGTGAAATCAGCAGCCAGTTGTGATTTTTAACTCTTGTGTAATTTTTTTATAGTAAAAAATAAATTCTATTTTTTATTTGTGGTACACTGTGTTATGAAAAATTTAAAAAGGGTACATAAAAGTCCTAAGTTTGGGAAAAACTGCTTTAAGTCTTTAGAGTAGTTTAAACACTGTAATTGCCATACCCAGATCTTTTAATAGCAGTAAGACATTCACCAGATAATGAATCCCATACATTAATGTTTCCATCAAGGCATGTGCTAACTACAGTGTATTCATCTGTGCAAAGGTATTCCAAATCCTGAAAATAAACAAATATAAAACTGTAGTCAAATTTCTAAGAATAAGTACATTTAATTAAGCAAAAATGTTACTTATAGGTTGCAATCAAAGAAAACGAAGCAAAATTAAAAATCAAGTAGGAAATAAGCTATTAAGATTTAACAAAATGCCTTTTTCAAAAATTTACAATACTTAAAGCAGAAACAAAAATGCATATAGCTAGATTAAATTGGATTTGATGACCAAAAATCAGCAGAATAACTGAAAGGAAATGTTATTGTATAAAATTTTAATACCATTAACTTACTACTAATTTAAGGGCTCTGAAAAGAAAAAAAGTTCTACAACAAAGTAATTAAGAGTAAAACCCTATCATATGTACAATCAAAAAACTAGGAGTAAATTATCGTAGTCTCCATAAAATAATGAAAAAAAAATACTTTTTTTAAAAATAGGTCCTAAAAATAAATAACTTTAAGTTTAGTTATAATGTTTTTAATCAATGACACTTACAATAAACATTATGATAAAGTTTCTTTTTATTAAACTAGTGAAAAATTTCAGCTAAATATAAAAAAATATAGCTCTAAATTTAACTCAAAATATTTTAAATCCATGATTTTATGTTCAATATACATCTTATTTACCTGTAAATAAAACAAAAATAAGTAACTTTATGTCTTATGTATCTTGTGTCAGACCGTCCGACATGAGGACCATATTATTAACTTGTAATGTGAAATTAGTTTTTTGTTTTAGTTAAAGCGCACCATGGATCAAGGGAGAAAATTATTTCTTAAACAAAATATAATGTTAGTGTATTATGACTAAAGATTATGATACACTTTAATAATATTAATTATAAAAGTTATTCTAAATTCATCAAAAAAGAGAAGAGTTAAAAATGATTATTTACATATTCTCTGCATAATAGCAAGTTAAAAGTTCAATTTCTGTACCCTTAAAAGTTATGATTAACACCATGCCAGTGTCGCCCGAATCCAGTTCGGGCAACTACTATGTGCAGTATTTGTTGATGACCGAATTGACTTTGGGCTGGAGAAAAATTAACGTTTCTATTTTGGGAAATATGACCTGAGTTCGCTCCTACTTAATTCACTATTTTCCTAACAGATGGCATGAGTGGTCCTAGTTTTTCACCGATTATAACTTCAGTCAAGGGCAAAGACTGCGATATGGGCTTGTGTGTAGTATCGTGTTTTGGGATATACCATACTGTAAGAGATTTGTAAAATGTATGTATTGAAAATCATATTGTAGTGATTTTATATTACATTTTACTTGTTATATTATATTTAGCTTCAAAATTTTCTTTAATTTGCTCAAATTGAATAAGATGTGTAAGTAATCCATTACTTTTTCATGTGTATCCAAAAATTATAAATACAGTAGTCATTGCATTTAAAATTTTATTTTTGTTATAAAAAACCATTTTCTAACTTTTATAATAATAAAAAGAACAAAATTAAACAGTTAACAAAAATTTCCATTTTTGGTCCATTTTTCTGAAATATATGTCACTGTTAAGGGGTTAAAAATCTTGCAATCAAGAAAAAATTTATCTCTTTTTTTAGTTTCCATAAAATAATTCAAGAGCACTGAAAACTTTTTACTAGTAATCCAGTAAGATACATAATAAGAATCAATTCTTTATAAAATTAGTATACCACCACGTAGGTGATAAATTTCAGAAATATAAAAAATATCTTAAGACATAACAATTTTAGAAAATAAAAGAGTTAAGCTTCGCTCGCTAGCTAAAAACATTGGAAGCATGTTTTTCAAACTAAACATTTCACTATAAAATGAAAACTACAACCTGCATGAATCATAATAATGAATAAAATATTATTTAAATGAAACAAAAATATTTTGTAAACATATACTTTAATTTCACACCGTGCATCTGTTTTTAGTTGTTTCAAATTGAGAACTGAATTTTCAATAAGAATCCCTTCTTTCTAAGAAGCTATATGAAGATTTATTAATCTGTTTCTAATTGTAATTTAATCTATTTTTTATCCGAGACTAATAATTTTAATTAAAAAGATAATTTCTTAAAAGAAAATGAGAGAGAACCTAATATTTTTTCATGCAAATGCTGTTTAAAAATAATTTGTGAATGAGTTTTGATGACTGAATTGGATTAAAATTGATTTAAATTAACAGAACAAAGAGATTCATTAAAATTTTTCATGAAACTATCATGTCACTGTTAAGGGGTTTACAAAAAAGAGTCTTACCTGAGAATGACCACATAATTTTAAAGGAAATGTTTCCATCACAAGATTGGCATCAGCAGCTCCATCCGAATATCCTAATCTATTGCCCTCTGATCCTGTTGCATTCTTCCAAGATGAGCGCCACTCTGCATAATGCTTGGAACACATACAGCGATAAAGTACAACCATGAGGTATATGAAAAACAGCAAGCTGGGAATTGCTAAGGTTATAGCAATTGCTACTTCTCCAGGTGAAGATGGGTGGTAAGGGAGATCTCTAGACAGCAGATCATCAATGTCTGCAAAAAAATTTATATTATTTCTCTGCAATCAATAATCAGAGTGATATTGCAAGTAAAATTTACCACATAAAATATATATTACTGCCAACATTGGAGAAATAAAATAACGGAGATTTTACTAATCAACCCAATATTGGGTTTACGACTACTGATGTTCAACTCGGTAGCCTTGAAATTTTGAACCCAATCCAGAAGACAATAGAACTCCTAGATCAAGCATTAGGAGAAATTTGCTTTTGTGGAGGACTTTTTTATGGAACTAACCCTCATTTGAGTTACATGGAGAGGAAAACCACGTAGACCTCCCATTGTTAGCCTAACGACAAGGAAACTCTAACCCGTGATTCATCTACCACTGAGGATATTTTATGTCAGCACTGCAGTCGTTGAGTGCTGGATGCGGAATTCATATCGACCAATCATCGATGGGATTCAAACCTGGGTGCACCCCATTGAAAGGTGAATGCACCATCCCCTGAGCCATCACGGCTTAACTAAAACAATTCTGATACCACTCAGCATACTACAGTACTAGCAATAGCACAATCTGCTGAGGAATAAGAGAAGCATTTTTGTCATCATTGGATATTTTGTCATGAAATTATTTTTTTTTTTTTAATTTCTTCAACAAATACGGAGAAATTTGAGAATATAAAGGTAAACAGGAGATAGTTGTAAAAAACCGGAAACATGGCAGTTATGAAACTACAACTTAAAAATAATATAACTGATACAAGTATGAATGCAACTTAGTAAAACTACTATAGAAACCTTGTGTAAATCCTTTATAAGATCATTGTAAGTTTTCTTACCAACGACTTTATTAATTTGTAAGTGTTGATGTGAAGCTATTTTTCCATCTATGATTTATGCAACTACTTGCTGATTTTTCTTTTTCTTAAAAAAAATAGTAATGGTTGAATGGAAAAAGAAATCTTAAAACAGCATTTATCAGTGTGTATAGTTTAATTTTTCAACAAAAATAATAACCTCTTAAGCACTTTAATGAAATGTCATAATTAGGTAGGGTTGGCGATTTTTCACTATTGGCAGTTTTATCCGTCATGGTAAAAAAACCTTTCGACATAGTTTTTGACAATTGTCGAAAACCTAAAATTGGTGGACGGTAAGTAAAAATATTATGTCTAAAATTCTCAATTCTTAAATTTAATGAATAAAAGGCAGATACAAATTTTAAGGAGATGAAGCTTTAAGATTCTTGACTGCTCTAGGAATCCACATTAAAATACATAATTAGTGAATGATCCCCGAGTCAAGTTTGAAGATTATGGTACTGATCAATAAATTGAATTTCTCGAGAAGGGCATTAGCTTGCTAGTGACAAAGACAATGGCACTTCACCAAAGATGAAAATAACAAGAGAAATAAAATTTTCTATTGCTATTAGGAAGAAAAAAATTAGTTAATCCCCGTAATCAACGAAAATTTGAGAGATTTTTTGGCTCAATTTCAGAAAGCAGAAAATGAAGGCTGAAATTGAAAATCTCTTGCAAAATGCAGCAGAGTTGCAAATGAGAGGGCAAGAATCCTTCGCACTGAATCCAGCTCTATATGGATGAAATACATGTGGAACCGCAAGTATGTCATCAAACATGTAAAACAATTGTCGTTTTCAGACACTACGAACTTACGGTAAGCTGAAATAGATTGGGGTTGAATGAATTGTGAAAACGTTGAACAGAAGAATGTGAGTAATATTTGTTTTTTTTTTTTTGCGTAATTCGTAGTGAAAATAGACATGGTAAAGAAAAAATAACTCATTTTGGAAATTGGAAAATTAAGCACTTTTTAAAAACACCCAATGAAAAAAGCACCTTTTAAGGCTTTTACAAATAGAAATAAATAGAATAAAATCTAAAATAAGCACTTTTAGGCACTTTTTAAAAACGCTACACACCCTGTTTCATTCATTTCAGAATAAATAATGCATAAAAAGTGAGCCTTACAAATATTTCTTTCTTGACATGAATCTTTTTTTTGTTTTCCATGCGATTATTCATGTAAGAATAAAAAAATATAAAAATTTAATTAAATCTTTAGATTTGATATACATTTTTATTTTGTAACTGTCATTGAATAACCGACCAAATTTAGGGTTTACGGCAACTAATGTTCAACTCCGTAGCCTTAGAATTTTGAACCCAATGCAGAAGACAAGGGAACTCCTGGATCAGTTATTGGGAGAAATTTACCTTTGAGGAGGACTTTTTGGTGGAACTAACCCTCATTTGCATTACATGGAGAGGAAAACCATGAAACCTCTCACGGGTAACCTGATGGCAAGGGGACTCTAACCTATGATCCATCCTACCACTGATGATATTTTATGTTAGCACTGTAGGTGTGAGCCAAATGTGCGATTCGTATCAACCAGTCATCGCTTGGATTCGAACCCAGTAAATCTCATTAGAAGACGAGAGCCTTATCCCTTGAGTCACCATAAAAGTGAAATAAATAGTAAAATAAAAAGCTACTTACCTCCATCTTTTATTTCTCCAGATGATAAAAACTGCCAATATGATTTCTTTGAAATTTCAAAATCCTTAGGATTCCTCAATTCAATAGCTACTTCAGGTTCTACGGCAACAGAAACGTGGATAGGAGGTAAAATACTGATGAATCTAAAATCAGAGAATTAAATTGTAAATATAAAAATTGTTCAATTAAATAAACTACACTAAAAAATCTCTATATCCAAACTTATTGGTAAATTTGACTATAGAGATTTATTAAAAAATATTTTTTAAAAATTGCTACCAAGAAATTTTCTTTCTAAGGAAGTTTGAACATTTCAGAGTTAAAACAAAGGGTTACAACATTTTTAGTTTCTAAATAAACAATTAAGAATTTTTATTAAAAATTAAAGTAATATATAATATAAACGAATGCTTGGAATGTGAACATAGAGTTGATTGTACAATGTCACAGGAATAAGCAGTGTGAGTAGTTCCATTAAAAAAGCGTACACAAGAAAAAGTTTATTCTTTACTTTCAGGAGACTTGATTTTTAAATTTTTAATTTCAGAAGAATTTTTTTTTAAATTGAAAGAAATTAAAAAATTTAAAATGACTTTGTTAGGTGGTGATAAAAAAATGTGTGATAAAAAAAATTTCAATGTAGTTAGAAATATGCAGTTTGGAGATTTTATTAATAGGAAACTCTGTTTCATTATTGGATTGAATGTTGAGTTTATTAACACAAAATGGTAAATAGATAGCATTCGAAAAAGATAAACATCAATGACATAATAACTCTAAAGTAAAAAAAAATCAAATCATAACACACAATAAAATATTTACCTCTTCTCAATTCCATAAAAGTCATCACCCCTTGCATAGTGAAACTTTTACATTCACACTAAGTAAATTCAAAATGGAACCGACTTGTTTTATAAAAATATTACCAACAAAGATATTTTTATTTTATACTACATGTTGTAATAAATCAATATTTGACCGAAAACAACTTAATTAATACATAATTTTTCATGTTGTTGTCGTTGGCTATCAAGGCGGAGCGGGTGAGACAGCTTATTTTTTCCAGTGGCGCCATCTGGGGCCAAGAATTCGACTTCTGGCACACCCATACGTCACACCCATTTTATAGGGCCGACTCATTCATTCATCCACAAATCCTAATTTTGACCAGAACCAAAGAACCATCAATCTCCAATTCAGTTACCCTGAAGGTATAATTTGTTATGGGACATAGAGGAGGTTGGGCAGCTCTGACGAGCAGGACACATCGATCAGAGGTCTATTGTACCCAAACCCTAAATCGTGATTAGCAAGAAAGCCCTATAGCTGAAATAAAGTTCAGCAAGCACCTTACAGGAACGTCTTGCAGTTCCCAGGTATTGACGCAATGCTGCCCTAAATGCTCAAATCTTTGAGCAGAATAGACATCACAATCACAGAGTATGCGTCGTGATGTCTCTACTTCAAGATGACAACCCCGACAACGATAATTGGATTCTATTCCCATTATGTGTAGGTGCCTCCTGAGGATGCAGTGACCAGTACGTACACTAGGACAGTCGCGATTCAGCTCCTTAGCTTGTCTCTGACCGTCAGCAGCGCGCCATTGTTCATGGGCAATCTTGCCGTAGAGCTTGAAAATGGATGCCCTAAATGAGGAGGGAGAAATTCCCAGCGCAGGTTCAGAGCCCCAGAAAATTGCATTAGAGTCAGCCCGTGCTGCTTCATCAGCTAGCTCATTTCCACCAATACCCATATGTCCAGATACCCAATGCAGGGATACCTTGTTATGAGCGGACAGGTCACAGAGGGCCGAGAAGCATTCCCACACTAACAAAGAGGTGAATTTACACCTTGACAGTGATAGGAAAGCAGCCTGACTGTCAGAACAGATGCGGATAGTCATATTTTAATACCCCTTTTCTAAGCATATCTTGCAGCACAAGATAATGGCATAGACCTTAACCTGAAAAACCGTGGCATAGTTTCCCAGGGAGAAGTGAAGTTTGGTACCGTCATTGGAGCAATAAATTCCTGCTCCTGATTTGAACCATTAGTGTACCATATTAGACATTTGCGTTTAAGCCACCGAGGAGAATTAAACCATTCATCCCTAGTAGGAAAATGGATCTTGAAAGGCTTGTGAAAAGCGTATCTTAGTGACATATAGACACTAGGCATAATAAAAGAGGTCATATCCATCACTTGTTAAACAAGATGCCCCATGACAAGTGCTTGGAATACTCTTTCCATAGGCCAAGGTACATTAGACGCTTTATGCCTGTCTGAGCTTCAACTTCAATGCGTAAGTTCAATGGAAGAAGTCCAAGTAAGCTCTCTAGAGCAGCTGTTGGAGTGTTCTAAGACAGCCTGATAGGGCTACACAGACCATTCTTTGTAGTCTATTAAGATTAGACCTTGCGGAGCTCAATTTAGTCCTTGAACATAGAGGACTTAGAGACCCAACAGATTTAATGTACACCAGTCACCATTTACTACACGGGAAGTCTTCAGCCGGCTGGTTTTCCCGGCTCTCTAATTTTCATCTGAAGTAAATATAAATTTACAATAATATTTTATACATAAATCAATATATATGAACTGATAACAAATTAACCTTCAAACAGCTTGTTATCACTTACCTTCCAGAAAGAGATATGTTATAGTATCCAAATAAAGTAGTCCAATGTTGGGGATAGAGTGACTGCCAAGAGTTTAAATTATGGTGCTTTAGACGTATATCTATGTTTCTTGCAAATTCTTTCACTGTTTGATCGCTGCAGTTCCAGGCTTTATTTTCATTTGTTTCGTTTGAATTTAAAAGTGTGCTATTGAATCTGGGTGAAATCTTAGACAGCAATGGATTTAACACTGAAAATGACAAATATGTGAAATAATTAAAATTGTAATTTTAATAAAGAAACAGCTTAATTTTTTTCTTAATAGATAAATCATTAAATAAAACTTTCTTAACTGTAATCAATTAAAATTATTTTAACTTTATACGCCCAATCTGAAACCTAAAATACAGAAAAGATGTAATGAATGGAAACAGGTAGAAACAGATATATTATTTTATAATTGCATATACAGAAAAAAATTTCTATTAATTTGTAAAGTAAATGGATTTCACACTGAAAATTACAAGTATGCCAAATAATTAAAATTGTTCCATTTTTAATAATAATAAATAATTAAAAAAAACAGCAAGACAGAGATTTTTTTTTCATACAGGGTTCATACAGAGATCAGAAAAAGAAATCCAAGGAGTCCAAAATTTCAAGGACTTATCAAAAATTTAAAAACTTTGTCTAAAAGATAACTAAACAGTTTTTTTTTAATTAAAAGACAGTTATTATAAGGAACTTTCAAAAATGTATATATAGCATATTTTTTTCAAGCTCTTTTGAAATAAATTTTGACTTTGTCAAACTTCATCAAGAAAAATAAATGAAGTTATCACTTTTACACATAAATACATTTTCCATTTTCGAATATTTTAATAAATCTTGTTAAAGCACAGATGTTAAAGATTAACATAAAAACCTACCAATCTTATATTTTTAAATTTGAATACATAAGAAAATCTAAGGCATTTTATACAAAAAAAAATCACAGTAAATTATTAATTAAGTTTGCTTGTAACTTGTAAAATTTATATTATTTGCTGTTATTCTTTTCTTCTAACTCTTGCAATTCAAATTTTTTTTCTTTTAAAGTTTTTCTTCAACTATTAGATTTTGACAGCCAAGTTATATCATTTAGTTTCCCTGCTTGGACAGCAAATTCATCAGCGGACTTAGTAAGTTCATCTATGCAGCACAATAATCTAAAGAGTTTCTAAGGACTAATTTGGAAATCTAAGTAGTTCCAAATACTCCTTGGAGTCTTTTTTATTTCCAAGGAGTTTCTAAGGAGTATAAAGAGTCTGTATGCACCCTGATAATTGATAAATCATGAAATATATATATATATATTTTTAACTGCAATCAATTACATTTATCGTTACTTCTTACAGTCAATCTAAAACCTAAAACACTTGTTAGAATTTTTCGTCTATAAGGTAAACATATAACGGATGGAAATGGATAGAAACAGACATATTATTTTAAAATTGCATAAACAAAAATTTTTTTTAAATTAAGTTGCAAAGTAATAAAAAATTTACATTGTTGGTATAAAGCCTGAAAGCAAATAGTTAGCATTTAAACTAAGTGCTTATTGTATTATAAAAATTACTAACTACTTATCAACAAGAACTTTCAATTATACACTACCGGTCAAAAGTTTGCGAAAATTTTGAAATCTACGAAGAAAAGGTCTAAATTCATAGAACTGCGAAAAATCATTCAAATTGCATGAAAATTTGATATGTTCTAAAGTGAACCCTCTACAGTTAGTTACATATGATCAAATTGCAATACTTTGTTTTTTGCGAACTGAATCCAGCTTTTCATCATGGGTTGTTTTTATGGTGAAAAAATTTGTTAAATTTGAACACTTGCCAAACTTGCAAAAAATTTTTTTTGCACTTTCTGTTAATGGATAATAGTTATTTGAACCATTCTATGTAAGCCCTCAAAATTTCAGATCAATTTGATTTTTTTTGACGAAGTTACAGAATTTTGAAAAACATGTGTACTTTTCTCAATTTTTGAGCATTCCACATATGCAGTCTTTTGGTCTATACATCTTCTACCAAAAAACTTCTTAATTTTATTGTTTTCTATATTTTCCAATAATTAATATTTATTAAAAAACAAATATTCTCATTCATTATTGTAATTATTAATGTTTATATTTATTGTTTATATTTATTACTAAGGCCCGGATTTTGATGACATTTGCATTTTTATGCATTTTTTGCATTTTTGGTCTTTTAGAGCATTTTTTTTTTAGATTTATAGGGCATTTTTCTTTAAATTTTGGGGCGTATTTTGCATTTTAATGCATTTTTTAAAGTTTTTTGTTAATTTTTTCCAATTTTTATTATTTTTTATCAATTTTCATTATTACACTGGCTTCCAAACAATGAAGAAAATCTATAGGATATTAACAGGTGAAGCAACATCTTTTCAAATTGAAGAAGAATTGTCAGTAAGTGAGACCGTCTTTTTCAAGTACGCACCTATAACATCAGTAGACGTTGAAAGAAGCTTCTGCAGGAATGAAAATTTACTTTCAGACAAGAGACGCTCGTTTACATTTCAAATTATCAAAAAACATTTAATAATCCAATGTAATTCTGATATTTAGTAATATTATGAGATGGAAGTTGTTATATCCATTAAAGTTTCTATACAAAATAAAAATATTTTGGTGTCAATATATTTTCCTTTTTTTGTTATTTTAGGATATAAAACATATTTTTCAAACTTTAATGAACGTAGAACAAGTATTGCATTGCTTTATATTTTTTAAATGACTCATAATAATTTTAAAGACCAAAATATTTTTTAATTCAATATGTTTACTTTATTTAAGGCATTTTTTGCGCAATTCTTGCATTTTTAAGGGCATTTTTGGCCCTTTTTAAGGGCATTTTTTGCACTTTTTAAGGGCATTAGTTGAGATTTTTTAGGTCATCAAAATCCGGGCTCTATTTATTACTTATATGTATTAGTTTTGCTGTGATATTTTTACTTTACATTAAATTAAAACAAAAAGTTATAACAATAATTACATAAATAATTCTAAAAAATAATAACAATAGTATAAAAAACTTGCATTTTTACTAAACTATTTTATTTACAACAGATCAAATATTTAACATATTCTTATTTGTATTTTGTAATTAAATAAATTAACATTTAAATCTTAGATTCCTCGAACCATCCACCTTTTGCTTTTGTTATAGCCTTACATATGTGTGGCATTCGTTCTAACAAGCCATTAATCACTTCAAGTAATATAGAGTTCCATTCCTGCTGTAAAATGTCCCATAACCGAATTCAGTTCAAAATATCACAGCATCGAATTTGTCGATCCAAATGATCCCATAAAAGTTCTATTGGGTTACAATCAGGACTCTGAGCTGGCCAGGTCATAATTTTCAATCTGACTTCGTTTTTTTTTTTTTTTTTTTTTTGCATAATTTTGACGTGTGCTTGGGATCATTGCTTGCTGAAATACAAAATTTGAACCGACAACTTTTTCACCTGCAGGAATAGCATGACGTTGCAAAATAGAATGGTACTTTTTTTTGGTCCATTATTCCATCTATTTTAATTAAATCTCCTACATATATTGGCGTATATCATTTCCAAAACATCCCCAAAACATTATGCCACCCCCTCCGTGTTTAACCGTTGGTCAAATGCAATCTGGTTGCATTCGTTCTCCTTCACAACGCCTTACAAACATGCGACGTTTGCTCCCAAAAATGTCAAATCTTGATTCATCAGTCCATAGTACACTTTTCCAATCTGTGATTGACCAATGCTGATACTTGCAAGCCCATTCTAATTGTAGTACTTTATTTTTGGGTCTAAGAAGAGGTTTTTTTGCTTTAAAGCAAGCTTTACGCAAACACAGTTTTATTATTGAAGTTGAAACTTTTTCTGAGCCTAGGAATAATTTACACTTCAGTTGTGCTGGTGTATCGAATCTATTTTTTAAATTTGTAACAATAATTTTTCGATCATCTCGATTTGATGTAATCTTTGGCCCTCCAGAACGTGTGCGATCAACGTAGAGTCCTGTTTCATCACCTTTTAATTGTAGAATGAACGCATGCTAATGAAACATTTTCTAATGCAGCGATTTTGTCTATAGTGTGACCTGCTTTTCTTAAAGATACTATAGCTGCACATTTTTCAGTTGATATTTCTTTTCTAGGAGACATATTTAAAACGCTGCTTCAAATAAAATAATTTAATACTAAAAAAATTAGTCAATGAAATTTTACAGTACATTCTTCAAATTAACAATAAACATCGTTTCGTTTGCAAGAACAAACAAATTTTCGATGAAATGTGACTGTTCGGTCTTAAGCGAAACGCCATTGTAATAAATAGGAATTTATTGGAGTTTTTTTTGTATCAATACTTTTTAAAGAAGGGTTATTTTTCAATAGATGGCACCACTAGATAAAATTTAAATGCAATCAAAATTATGATATTTCATGAGAAATTTTTTTTGATCCTTTTAAAATGGGATTTTTGGGGTAGATTGTGGATATAAATTGTATTAACATTTAAGGAGGTTTTGATTATCACTTTTATGGCGTATTAGTGGGTTTGTAGCTGGTTTTTCTTATGGATCTTTTTTTTTGTTCTGACGTGCACTGGATGCAGGATGACTTTTGAGCGAGTAAACAGGTCAGTATGGATTATTTCGTCTTGATGAAAAAAGTATAAGAGGCGTGAAGAGTGGCTGAAAAAGCAGGACGACGGGAGTGCGGATCGTGCCCGATGGAAGGTTGGGTTGAAACATCACCGCTGACAGGATCTATCATGGCTACTAGAAGTGTGTTCTGAGCCGGTATCATCGAGAATGAGTTTAGATATAGCTGGAGTCTCGGAGTGAGTTGATCTAGGCTGAAATGCTGAAAGGTTGATGTTTGGAAAGAGTCTCTGGATGCCGCAACTAAGTACGCAACATTGGTCGGATGAGCTGTTGCCTGGAAGAAAGTTGATCTGAAGCCTCAGAACAGTTGACGGGAAGTGATAGACTGAATGTCGCTAAGTTCAAGACGGTTGGCAAGAATTCAGCGTTCCTCGGCAGAAAATCGAATGTTTCTAAAGAACTGAATGGCGGTCGGAAAGTCGAAGTTCTCCTAGTCCACAAGTCTAGCTGCAAGCCCGGTGGGCGTTCCAGAAGGTGATCTGCAAGTTCCTTTTGTATTTATAAACTCTAATTTCTTACCTTTTTAGTAACTTTTTAGAAGAGCATTTTATTTCGTATTTTAAATTATTTCTATCAGGTGTTAAGATACCTATTTTAAGATGAGCCTTGGATATTTAATTTTAATTATCTGTTGTAGGAATATAATGACCTAAAGTTTAAATGTTTCTTGTAAATTTAGAATAAGCTAGGATTTTCATTTCATAAATGTCTCTTTTAGTGTGAATTAATTGAATGTGGTGCATATGAAATTTAAAAGTGCTTTTTATCGAAAAGTTTTATCTTGAGTATAACCATTTGGAAATTTAAAAGTCTATAAATTGGAAATTTTAGTGCACATGAAGGCATCTGGAAATGATTGAAGTTGTGTTTGTTGAAAATTTATAGTTATAATAAAATTTAATTTTTATTGTTAAATGTTTCATGTAATTCATTAGTTATTTGTCTATTTTTGAACCTGGGTAACTGTTACCAAAATTCAATTAAAAGATCACAGCCTTGCCAAAGTTTGAAGGGTAACGGTACACCATCTGTTGTAATTGTTTCCAACTAGTCAGTTGCTCTTGAACTTTTGTTTGAGCCAGTTGGGCTACCATTACAATAGTGCAGTGATTTTGGTTTGATCATTTACAATTGTTAAATAAAGTATTGTTTGTTTAACTTCTAGCATTCAATGAAACAGCGCATTGTGTACAATCGTGTACAGTGACATATATGAGATATTTTTTTAATTATATTCATAATTAATTCTTTGTAATAACAATAATTACAATAATGAATAAGAATATTTGTTTTATAATAAATATTAATTATTTGAAAATATAGAAAACATTAAAACTAAAAAGTTCTTTGGTGCAAGATGTATAGAACAAAAATCGAGAAAAGTACACATGTTCTTTAAAATTCTATAACTTAGTAAAAAAAAATCAAATCGATCTAAAATTTTGAGGGCTTACATAGAACGGTCCAAATAACTATTTTCCATTAACAGAAAGTACAAAAATATTTTTTTGCAAGTTTGGTAAGTGTTAACAAATTTTTTCATCATAAAAACAACCCATGATGAAAAGCTGGATTCAGTTCGCAAAAAACAAAGTATTGCAATTTGATCATATGGAACTAACTGTAGATGGTTCACTTTAGAACATATCAAATTTTCATGCAATTTGAGTGATTTTTCGCAGTTCTATGAACATTTGAATTTAGATCTTTTCTTTGCAAATTTCAAAATTTTCGCAAACTTTCGACTGATAGTGTAAATACAAACTATTAATAACATTTCATTTCCAGTACCTATTACCTACCAACTAACAACCTACCATTAATGATGTGTAAAATCAATACAAAAAATTTATTTATCTTTAAAAAAAATTTCCTAGCCCTAAATGGTTTGATAATAAACTATATTTTATTAATTAAATTAATAACTTGTTAAGTAAATATTCAAATTATATTAATTAAAATATATATTTAACCGCTAATTAAGTTAAATATTTAATGTTAAAATTAAATTTTTACTATATTTTACTTTGATTATAAATATGATTATATATATGATTTAAATTAAAATCTTGCAGTTATGCATTTTCATTAATTCACAAAGAATAACAAATTATTATTTTATGTAACAGAATAAAAATAAAACTGCCCTCTTAGTAATTTAGAACTTTATACTTTTAATGAAATTTTATCAAATCACCATTTGTAGAAAAGGTGATATAAACCAGGAATTGAAATCTTACTATAACAAACTTTTATTTTTTATCAAGGGTAAATTATACCTAATTCTTGATTCTTCTTAAAAACTCTTCGCGTTATCAAATTAATAAGCGAAACTATTTGCGATATCAAAGTAAAATAATTTTTTTTTAAATTATTTTAATTAATAATTTAAAATATCTATAAAAAAAGAGAGAGGTATAGTAAAAAGTACCAGTCATCTTTTTATAAATAAAGATTGAAACAAACGGCCTAAACAATTAATTGGGTGCAAATCTTTTTAATTAAAGGAATAATTAAAATTTTAATGATACAAAATAGGTTCAATATAACAAAATAAGTTCAATGAAATTATTTAAAGTATTTTAAAGTAAAATTTGTCGATTGCATAAATATTAAAATAAAAGGATACCTTGTTTGGAAACTAAAGTTGAATTTCCAGTATACCGTTCAACTATTCCTGAACTATAAACCAACAAAAATATCCAAAGCACAAGACAGATCTGAAAAATAATAATAATTAATAGTTATAATATTGAAATGTATCTTATCAAGCTTATATAAATACATCAATCTATTAAGACTTTTTTTTTTGCCAGCGAAAAACAATTTACTTTGATGGAATTTACTTTACTGTGATAACTATATTATTCTCTCGACCTATTTAATGCACCTATTTTAATTACTCAGGTTTTCCTTTTTCCATAAGACACAACATTTCATTGGGACTATTTTGCAAGATTTTCCCTAATTTTTATTCAGAAGCACTTCCATTTTATGTTACTTGGATGATTGTTCTCTTGCCATAAGTATAATTTGCTCTTTTTAAATTCCGTGCCAGTCTGCCCAGCTCACTTGAGTGTCATTGTGATATATATATATATANTATATATATATATATTCTCCTTAATTGTTTTTAGAAGGGTGGCCCACCCCGCAAGCCTTTTGTTCTTATATATGCGCCCTCCTCGCCCTTTTTGTAAAAAAAAAATCTACCATCCCTTAGAAACATTACCTTTTTATTTTATTTTTTAGGAAAAGGTTGCTTTCTTAACCATCTGTTTTAATGAAAAGTTCATGTCTGATTTATTTAGATACTGATAGTTATTTTATTTTAAATTTCATTCCCTAATTTTAGTAAGATTTTTCTTATGATGTCTAGTTAATATTTGCATGATATTCGTCCTCAGAGATATTTACATCTTTTATTTGAGGGGTATATTGATTTTAAATTTTAACATTATTTTTTTTTTTTTAATAAATAGCTTTAATTTAAAAATGCATCTTTGAATGCTTATTTATTTATTTTCTCATAATTTTCAGTTTAAAATATGCTGTTGTTTGAAACAAGTTATTGTTTGAAACTGAATGAGAATAACTTTGTGAAACATACACATAAAATAGCATAAAAAGTTAATTTAAAAATTGAAGATTGAATTCAGTTATTATTATTATTATATAATATTACACATTTTGATGATCATATAATATTATATGATCTTGATATTGATGGTCTTTTTAACGGTGGTGAGTGCCCTTTCAAAACTCAAAGTACCCTTTCCTGTGAGGAAGTGTTCCCTTCCCTTTTTTATTCATAGGGAGAACTCTGATATATATATATATACAGTGAAGCCTCCGTTAAGCGGACACTCATGGGACCAAAAAATTTGTCCATTTATGAGAGTTGTCCGTTTACGGGAAGGGTATATAACGAAATTTAACAACGTAAATTGTTTTTAGAATATTCTCAAAGATGTATAAATAATTAAATAATATCTACAAGGATACTGTAAATATCTACAAGAATATTTATTTAAACAATAAGAAAGATAAAAAAGAATATATAAAGAAGTTTGATATAAATACATAATTCTGGATGTAGCTACGGATAAATAAATAAATAAATATAATTTTCCCATTAGCATAGATACTCAAGTTAGACATATGATACCAAATAGGAGTGTACTGTCCTCAGTCCGCTTCAATTATTAGGTTCACATCGCCTTACACCTACTTATCATTTGATAGGGAACATGGTTAATACCTTCTTGGAAAATAAACCTCCCATGATTCACAGAAGAAAAAGAAATGCATACCTGTAAGTCATGAGGACCTATGGAGGTGATTATTCACAATTGATCAGCTATCAAGTGTCTGTATAAATGTTTCATTTATATAAACACCTCAAAGATTATGCTTCTGTTCTCTTTTTTTTTACCCCAATTGTGTTAAATACAGTCTTTAAACTGATAAGAAAATTAAAGAAATTTTCAATGGGGAAGAAGCATTGAAAGAAGTCATTTCAACTTGAGGGGTCTCATAACCTGTGTGGTCCAGATGAAAAGATCAAAAGATGCCGATGTCAGAATTATTTCAGAAGTGCAGTACCATTTTCTCTCCTTTCTTTACAAAGATAAGGCAAGGTGACAGGAGAAAGATTGATTTTTCGGTGGTGAACCGCATGGATTTATGCATTGTTGAATGAAGCTGGCATTAATCAATTTTTATTTCACAATTGAATATTTGTAATTTTTATTAAATACGAATGTTCTGGTGTTTGTTAAAATCAAAAACCTTTTATCCAGAGAATCCACTGTGTGTAGATATTGTTTCATGCATTTATGAATATTTTCAGTTTTGTTTTGGGATAATGGCCATTTTGCTTTGGTCACATGGAAAAGCTTCCGAAGAAAAAAAAATAGTTAGCACGATTTGAATCCATCTAACCAAAAAGTACTAATAAGGTAAATACCGATTCAGATAAAATTGAATTCAATATTCAGGGTATCTGCTACATTTCAGATTTTCAAATTCATGACTTTTCATGACTAATTGCAAGAATTTTTCATGACTTAACGAAGTCACTACTTTCTCCGACAAAAACATAACAATAAATTTGAAAAAGCACTATAAGAACATTAATTGAAATGATAGGTATAACCAAAACTGTTATACTCTGCATCTTTATATTTATAGATTTCAAATTTAAAAAACAGATTAAAGAAAGAGTTGAAGCAATAAAATGGCTGAAAAAATACAAAAGCAAATTTTTTTTCCTGCAGAATTTTATTCTAAAGATACTTTTCATGTTCATCGGAAAGGAAAGAAATACTCCTGATTTTTCTGTTCTTACTTCGGAATAAGAAAAATTCACCAATGACTGGTGTTTAATAAATTTTCACTTAGTGGACTGTAAAAACTAATTATTTTATTTATTTCCATGCACACTCATTTCACTATTACAAAAGTACGTCTGCACATTTGTGAAGTGTTTTGAACATTGTTGATTTTTTGTAAACACGAATAAATGCCGCTGGGCAGAACAACTGGCTTGCTTCAGCTAGAATTTTAAATTGATAACATAAAAAAAAATAATAATGATAAAAATTCTGAAATCACAGAAGTTTAAAAGAAAATTCGCTCTAGAAATGTTTTTTCTTTCAATTTTTTGAAAGAGCAGCGTAATTTTTAAAGAGCATGATAAGAACATTTTATATTTTTAAAAAATATGGCTGTAAGTGGGGATTTTGTTACAAATTCAGATATTCGGAACAGCATGAAATTTGGGGGGGGGGGGTACCATTTTAAAAATTAGATTTTTTAGCAACCTAAATCCAAGACTTTCCATGCTTTTTTTTTTAAAAAAAAAAGTTAAAATCATGACATTTCATGGCAAATTTTGTCCAATACCGAAATTCATAACTTTCCATAATTTCTCATGACTTTCCAGGCGCGCAGATAACTATATTTAACTAGCCTTTAAAAACTATTTTTTATTTGTAAGATCATAATTCAAAAAAAGATGTGCAAGTTTTAAAATTTAAGGCAATTAAATGTAAGCAATAAGAACAATAAATTAATCAACATACCATTAATCCTCTTTGTACCATTCTAGTTCTTGCCCAAAAATAAATGAATTTCATTCTTTTGGACAATTTTCCCAGCGTTGGAACTGCAGGAGGTGCAAAGATTTTAGCTGAAGTGTTTGGAGGTTTCAATGAAATATTTACATCATTATTCACTTGAACAAACCTAGATTTTAAATAAATATTTTGATCATTACTAACTTGTTCTAGGTTCTTTTGTGTTACTATATATAATTTTACTAAACTATATAAAATTTTACTATATATAATAAACAGAAATAAAAGTATTTTTAATTATATTAAAAATAATTATTTAAACATATGGAAATAACTCTTGGGTTGAATTGCAATGAAAGAATTAAGTTTTTCTTGCGCTCACTAGAATACAGTAAAACAATTACCGACAATAGATCTCTAAAAAAAACATTTTTTATCGTATCCCTAATTGAAACAAACTCTAGTGACTTACAACTGACTTGATGTCTGCTGAGCAGTTAATAGTACACATATCAATGTCTGCACTGCGAGTATAACATTTTGTTTTCTTTAATATTTTATTAAAAAAAATATTTGTTTATTAATTTGCATAACACATTTTGCAATTCTTACATTTCTAATCAATACTTAACAATAGGGAAGTAAAATACAATCCAATAACAGAAAGCTACTAAACTGTAATACCTATTACACTGGTTATCATAAATTAAGGAAAATTCACAAAAATCGCGATAACTCAAGAAATTACACATGGAATTTTATGAAACTTACCCACAATATACAACACATAGTAAGGTATTAAACAACATAAAAAGAAATTATCAGACATTAATAGTAGTATAGAAATTAGCACATGTATAAAATAAACAAATTGGAAGTATCGGTTTGCAATAGAAAAAGTACCTTTAATATGGAATATGATTGCCTCTAGAAGCAATACAGCACAAACAGCGATGTGTGATGCTTTCAATTATGCGGTCTATCAGTTCAATAGGAAGTGAGAGCCATTGCTCTTGTAAAGCAGTTGCAAGCGTGGCAAGGGTCTGAGGGGGCGGATTGATGGCAGATACACGCCTCCCTAGAGCATCCCAAACGTGCTCGATAGGATTCAAGTCCGGGGATCGAGCTGGCCACTCCATGCGAGTAATTGTTTCCTGTTGAAGATAATCATCAACAATGCGAGCTCTGTGTGGTCTTGCATTATCGTCCTGTAACAGGAAGCAATCACCAATTGCCCCGGCATATGGGCGCACATAAGCATCAAGGATGTTGTCTCGATAAACCTGAGCATTCACGGTTCCCCTTGGAAAGACATGGAGGTATGTGCGCCCTCCTAAGGATATGCCTCCCCAAACACAGACACTGCCTCTTCCGTATGCATCTCTTTCACGGATGTTTGATGGATGATAACGGGTCCCAGGTTCTCTCCATATCAAATAACGTCTACTGTCACTTTCTAGACTAAACCTGGACTCATCCGTAAAGAGAACAGGCCTCCATTGATCTGACGTCCAGTGGACATGTTGTCGGGCCCACTGCAAACGGTCTCTCCTATGGCGTGATGTGAGCGGCACGCAAATGGCTGGTCGTCTCGCATACAGACCACCTTCGTGGAGCCTTCTGCGCACAGTTGACGTTGACACCAACCTTCCGGTGGCTGCAGCAAGAGAGGATCTAAGATGTGTCGGAGTAGCGGTTCTATTCCTGCGTGCACTTAATGTCAAATATCGGTCATCGGCACTGGTCGTAACAGTTGGCCGTCCTTGACTGAACCTCCTAGATGCCGAATCTGTGGTTTGAAATTGCCTCCAAAGTCTATGAACCACAGATGGACTCACATTTAGCCATCTGGCCACTTCTGATTGACTCTGCCCTGCCTCTAGTCTCCCGATGGCTCTCCATCGTAGTTCTTCAGGCAAATGATGCCTAGAGGTCATTATTACGAATTGGCTATCTCAGATTTTCAATGTCGCAATCACAGTAAAATTTGTGTGCTTTCTCTCAAACTTGGACTTTTATGCTCCAGGCAGATGACGTAAGCCGAGTGCAGCGCCACTAATTTGCATATTGCAATTTTACTCAGCTACTCTTAGTGGACAACATATGCAAATTTTGCACGGTTTGGCTTACTTTTGAAAGAGTTATCGCTATTTTTGTGATTTTTCCTTAATTTATGATAACCAGTGTAAATTATTTCATAATTTAATAATATATATATATATATACAGTAAAACCTCGCTACAACAATATTTTGGGGACCCAATAAATATATTGTTGTAAAGGGATATATTGTTATATCAAGGTCCTACATACTTAGGGGACACAATAAGTTTTTTTTTTATATATGTGTTAACTATAAATGTATTTATATATTATGCACAAAAATTAACTTGCATAGTGTTAAATACGGTTAAATATTAAAACCAATTGAAATAAATGTAGACAGTAAGATCGTAAATATACCTGAAAACCGCTTTTATTGAAAATAATCTGATATTTTTGTTTGTTTATTCATTTTTTGAACTGTCAAGTCAACCAACAAAGTAAGTAAGCATTGAGTCCAAAGTATGAAAATGATTTTTGTTTGTGAATGATGCTCCACCCACCCTCTACCGAAAAAAATTCTCTTTCATGTGTTAATGTGTGATGTTTGTGGTCATTTGTGACTCATGATCAGCTTTTAACATAAAGGAAATGAAATCAGATAGGAATGTTACATCTGTGACTTCTTAAGAAATGAGGGAGGTAATTCTAAGAATGGAAGCTCTTAGGGTGGTCAGCAGTGAGTCTTCTCTTGTCAGAAAAAAAAATGGAAAAATGGCAAAAGATGATAAAATAGGATTTTTACAATATTTGAAAATCAATAACAAATGGAGAAAATAAGATTGAAATTTGGAAAAAAAAATCATTTTACAGGGATTTATTGCTTCAGAGAACATCATAATATTGAGAGGAGCATTACATTAATTCATATACAAGTTTGCCGGGACCACGAAACATTATCCTAATAACGAGAGTTATTGTAGTATTGTATATCGTAGTAGTGAGAGTTCACTGTATATATGTATACATATTATGTGTGTGTGTATATACATCGATACATGTATATCATATAGATCTATTTATATACATACCCTCCAACTGCTACAGAAACCTCCAACTGCTAGTTTCAGAAATCTTCTTTTCAGACGGTAGCAAAATTAATGTCTTAATATTTAAAAAAAATTTATTTTAGCGTAACTTGTCCACTATTACTTATAAAAGTGCAGGCCATATGGCTAGATTCTTAAGTTCTGATAAAAGTTTTAAGAGAGATCCATTTGCTTTAAAAATTTCAACTTTGGTTCGCTACCACTAGAAAGAATTATTTTCAAAATCTTCATAAGTTGGAGGGTATGTATATATATATATTATAAATATAACAAAGTCAAAAAGGACAAAAAGAAAAAAGAGAAAAATAGAGAAAATTATGAACATTAATTAGTTATACTAGAGGGCTCCAGCCCCTGCTCACTACCGCTCGCCAACCCCCGATAATTGCTACGCAATTACATTTTTGTTCAATTTGCGAACAAACTTAAAGTCGTTTTCCTGGAGATTAGCTGGCAGTTTTTCTGCAGCAACATCACATAGAGAGAATATGATAGGATTGTAAAATGTCAGAGGAACTTATTATCAACATTATAAACTTATATAAAGCGATTTCAATACAAACAATATTATAAACTTATATAAAGCGAGGAAGCAATATTACTTAACACATTACTATAGGGCATTAGCCGGAGATTAATCTCCGTATCTGACGCAAGCGGGGTAGAGCTGAACTCAAATCATTGTTAATCTTATAGGACGCTTCCTATATAGTGCTTTATCCCCCTCCCAGTAATTTAAATTTTAAATTAAAAACAATTAAAACCTGATGAAAAAAAACTTTACAAAAATTACAAACAAATTAAAACATGTAATACTAATAAGTTGATTCTAAGTAATATTTCAAAAGCAAATACCATTGCAAGTAATTGATCAATTAACTTCAAGACTGTCAACTGACAAAATATTTTAGTTTCAATCAGAAGTATTCGTAAGTACACCAAGGTATTCGTTTTTATTTAAACGTCTTAGACTTTTCAACGTTTCTTCGCCGCGCATTCCGCCGTCGCGTATTGATAGCACTACGATTATTTTCCCGTTAATTTTGTGCAGCTAAATCATGCTCAGCTCTATGCCGCTGTTGATATCGCATAAGATATTCACGGCGGCGATTCATTTTTTATAAAAGATATAAGCATTTTAAAGTAAACTCTGTTCAATATATTTCGATAATTTGGAATGCGAATAGTTTTTTGAGAGAGTGTTGATTCGCATTTCCAATAACTCTACCTGATTTATCAAAGCTATTAAAATATATTGGAATTCTAAAATAAATAACTGCGTTCTATCAAAACAAACATTTGGGTAGACTATATTTGAGGGTGCCCCTTGATTCTCGCCAAGTTGATATCGCGGTTGATCACCAAGCTGGGAGATGTTGAAACCCAATCGTGATTCTGATTGGTTTAGATTTTAGCGTTATTTTTAAATGTTTAACGGTATATGTAATTTCAGAGGTTCGTTAGTTCCACGTTGGATACTGGCTGGTAAGGTTACTTTTGAATCTGATCAATAAGACCGAAGGTATGTGGGCAGTCATAAAGAGAGATTTAAGAAAAAATATCAAAGCTGGTCCGGTATTACAGACGCAATTTTCGATTCGTATTTCGTCGAATTTATGTGGCGATGGAGGTACACAGATTCAATTCATGATAAATTTAGACAGTATCTAACTGTTATTAGATAATTCTGTGCACCTAAATCTGAGAATATTCAAGCTCAATGAAGAAATGAGTTGTTTTTTTTTTACTTTTCCTCTGTGCCTACTCCATTAATTTTTGCTTCGATTCAAAATCCTTTTTATTGGGTTTATTAATTTTGCTTATATTGGGTTCACTGCAAGTTTTGTCCGATGTTTTGTTGAAATTTTCCAATGTTTTATTGAAATATCATTATATTTTGAATGCCATTCCTGTTACCATGGTGTTCCGCGCAAACAGGAATAGCGCCAAACATAAGTAGCCAATTTCGCCAAGGGGCACCCTTAAAAATATTATTCCCAACATTTTATTATAAAAC